TTTCAGGAGTTTAAGGTTGTGAAGGGTTTGGGTTTAGGGTTTTGGGTTTTGGGTTTTGGGTTTAGGGTTTAGGGTTTAGGGTTTAGGGTTTAGGGTTTAGGGTTTAGGGTTTAGGGTTCTGGTGCTTAGTAGGGAATGGGGGAATGGGCTATAGGGACTACCATAAAGGGCCTTAAGGGACTATCATAGGGATCCATTCCCCCATTCCCTACTGAGCACCAGACAGTGTTTCAGGATTTCCTTAAGAACCCCAAAACCCACTTTTTTGTAGGTCCTTATTATGCACCCTATAATTTGGGATTTATAGGGACCCTACAAAAAAGGCAGGTTTTGGGTTCTTAAGGTTCAGGAGTTTAAAGTTGTGAAGGGTTTGGGTGTTGGGTTTAGTGTGCTTTCTGGAAATGTGCAGATGCTTGAGTTTAGGGTTCTGCAGCTGGGACACTCACGAACAACGGTAAAAGCATAGGTAGATGTGACTGCGATAAAGTTCGATACAAATAAGGTGTGCGTGATTTCTTGAAAACCTATGATTCCCTAAACCCTAAACCTCAACCCTAAACCCCATAAGGCCCATAATTTTCAGAAGCCCTCATACACGGGGCTCTCGGATGCACACGTTCATTAACAAACCCTAAGCTCAAAACCGCAAAGCCCTGTAAAGCAACGAAACCGTCGACCCAAAACCCAACCATAAACCTTTGAACCCCGAATCGTAAAGACAACAAACCAACGAAACTCTAAAACCCGAAGCCCCATATGCAAAGCCCCAACAACTCTAAACCCGTAACTCCTAAACCCTACCTATAGTCTCCATTGTAGTTCCTTTTTTTGGTTTAACCAATTACATATTAAGGGTTCTATAAGGTATCCCCCAAAAGGAACTACAATGGAGACTATAGGTAAACTCCACCCCTCCCAGTTCCGGGGCATCCGGAACCTCTGAGGCTCTAAGGAGCGACCCCAACAAAATGGAAATCTGATTTAGGACAACTAGTGCTGGGATTCCCTATGCATTGCTGTTAAGGATTGAGGCTATTGGGTTTCCAACTTTTGGGCTTCTACAAGAGGCTGCTTGGAGGTTTTCCGGCTCCTACGTACTTGAGAAGCTTCTGGGGTATTGACAAAAGGCTCTTAAGAGGTTGGATTAGGGTTTAGGGTTTAGGGTTTAGGGTTTAGGGATTAGGGTTTAGGGTTTAGGGTTTCAGAGGTTGGATGAGGGCTCCATAGTTGGATAGATGAGCTTGTGGCGGTAAGGGTTGGGGATTTTACGAAGGCGTGGCAGGGATTTTATAGCAGTTGCCCAGGGGTAATTATTTGAAAGGTCATCGAAGTTCAGGGCTGCCGGGGTTTGGGGTTCAACGTTTGGGGTTCTGCAGGGCTCGGGTTTTGGCGCGTGGGGTGTTAAGGCTAGCGGTTTAGGGTTCGGTAACGTTTCGGGTTTCTGAATCGAGTACATTGCACCAGGCGGCCATATCTGAGGACGCGTAAACGGGAAAAGATGCGCCTGCTTTGAGTACTGCGAGCCGAAAAGCGTGTTGCAGGAGCCTATTCCGAACCCAAGAACGCATAAACTCCAATTGGCGTTGAATACTATACAGCTTACGGAACCACATGTGCCGACCAAACCGACGTCGAACGAGTGCTTCACCTTCACAAAAAATCTGGACGAAACAATCGCAGACAATAAACTTTATTAGGGCTCTTCGTTTGAGGACTTAGGGATGTTTAGGGTTTGGCCAGGGTCTTGAAGATTTGGCATAGCTCATCTGTCCGCTTGGGTGTTCTGCGTCCGTTTACTTGCTGGCCGCCGTTCTTGGTTCCACCGTCGTATGGCACGGTGCATAGTTTGCCCTCGCATAATATATGTCTTAAACTCCCGGCAAGCCGTTTGTAAGGTTTGGCATGGACATGTCTCAATCCGGTCATAACACGGTTGAACCGCTGTGCCCCTGAAACCCGCTCACCAGCACACGGGAGGAACGATTTTGGAATTGTGCCCTCCTTCGGCAACACCGGATGGCAGCGGGTCCCAAATTCGTGAACTCGCTAGTGGGCCATGGCCGGAGATCCCACTTCTTGAACCTGCCCGGATCCCACTTCTCGAACGGACCCTCTCGCTTGCTGGATTGCTGGCGACCGGGCTCGTTGGCTGGCTGGTTTGCTTGCAGAGCAGAAGCGAATAAAACATACCCAAACCGACCGACGACAAAGCATACCCGAGCAAGACCACCACCGGGAGGGTTCAGGGTCTTACGGATTCTTCGCAGAATGCCAGTTGACTCAACCAACAGAACAAGGACAACATTAACATACTCCGGAGGCTGGACACCAATGTAGGGCCCGTCATAATTGGAAGAAGGTTTGTATCTGAATGCGGGACTCTGTCAAAGGTTATATAAGGGCATTGCCAAGGCTCAACATAGGGAACAGACAAAATACGTAGTTGGAATAGGGTTACGGGGTATGGGCTTGTCCGCCTTCTACAGGCACCACCTCACATGGTGCACGCTTATCTAGCAACAACCGAGGCAACCCTGGATCCTAAAAAGCGAGATAAGCCCGATTCGTCCTAATCTCCAAAACATCACCTCAACCCTAAACCCTAAACCCTAAACCCTAAACCCTGAACCCAAACTCTTCCTGTACCGCTCACCGGAAACCCTTAGCCCTAAACCCCGAACGAACAACCCAGCCGGATCCCTGGGATGTTATTAGCAATCAATGCTCTCCCCTTGTAATCCCGGCTCTAACTAGAGAGTATCACGCTTTCGGATGAGAGCATTTCTAACGTTCTGAATGTCAGAGTTGAGTGTATAAGCTCTAAGCCTAAACCCTGCCTAAACCCTAAACCCTAAACCCTAAGCCCTAAACCCCGAGCCGTGGACCCGAACAACCATGATTTTGCAAGCGCTGCACTGAGGATTGCTGCAGCTACTGCTGGTGAAACGATGAGGTCTCTCTCCCTGTCACCCTAAACCCTAAACCCTAAAACCCTAAAACCCTAAACCCAAACCCCTGAACCTTATGCTAGGGATCCTGGAAGCTCATGCAGGAACGTTTGGTGTGTTTGTTGTGTCAGACACGAATGTAGGGGCTTTAATGATTAGAAGTAGGGCTTTGGGGTATATTATGCTACAACAAATATAGTAAGGACCCCCCCCCAAAAAAAAATCATGTTGGTAAATAGTAAGGCCTAAATATTAACAGGGTGTTGCAAGGGCTTCCTAAGAGTCTTTAGTGAAAGTTCTCAAATGTGAAGCCGCCCCGAAATCCGAGTGGAATGGGTGAGGACCCAGTGGCGTAGAAGCTTTTGCCAACGGCAACAAAGCCCCATTTATCCCCATTTTATAACCGGGCAAGCTCTCTTGGGATAATGGGTTCAGGGCTTGGGGGCTTAAAATTTAGGGTTTAGGGTTCAGGGCTTAGGGGTTCACAGTTTAGGGTCTGCGGTTCAGGGTTCAGAGTTCGAGGGCGGGGAACTGTTGCGATGCTTCAGGAGCTGGGTCGGTTAATTCAGAGGCCTTTCGATTAAACGTAGGGAGCCTTAATAATTAGAATAGGGTGTTGGGATCCTTATAGTATAATTCAAAAAGGTAAGCCCCAAAATAATATAGGTAATTATTGAGGCCCCTATAGTAGCCCGGACCTGGGTCTGCAGAGTCGAACAGAGTCCAAGTACAGTGATAGGAGTCAGGCTCTAGGGGCTTAGGGTTTAGGGCCGCCAACACCTGCGAAGCTGCCTCTAACAGGAAAGACACACATTACGACACATTACCACCTAAAGCATACACTGATATAGGGGCCTTAACAGTTAGAATAGGGTTTTGAGGCCCATGAAACTATAAACATAATAAGGAACCATCAGAGTAGTTTTGGTGGTTATTTAGGCCCCTCCATTACAGCCACAGCCTGTAAAAAAATATGGGAGTATTGGGTTGACGGTTTAGGGTCGATAGGAACCCCATCTCACAAACCCTCCTCCACAGGGAATTTCTACCGTCTTTTGCTGAAAACAACGGAAAAAAGATCCCTCTTAACACACTCCCGGCTCATTAATAGCCTCAGCCCACGTACCCCACAATAAGAATCCCGTACAAACTCTCTTCCCTCGCTTAGCGCTGGGACTGCCGCTGGCTCTCACGCGCTTCCAGTGCCTCAAACTCAGCTCTGGAAAGCCTTGGAACGGAGAGTTTGAGAGGCGGTTTAGGGTCTACGGGCTTTAGGGTTTATGGGCTTCGGGGTTTAGGGGTTTAGGGTTATAAGGGTGTATGGGCTATAGAAACTGTAGGGTTTAAGGCTTAGGGTTTGTGGGCTCAGAGTTGAGCCTTTGGGGCCAGGGTTGGGCATTGACTTCAGGAGTCGCCAAGAGGCATTTAATTTACATATGGGGTTTAGGGTTTAGGGGTTTAGGGGTGGGTTTAGGGGTTTCGGGTTTAGGGTTTAGGGCTTAGTATGCGTGAGCTTTCAATCAGGAATTCATACAAGAGTGTTTTCTACTCGAGAGGGCGTAGAAGGTTTGGAAGGTTGACTGGATGGAGGGCAGTCCATGTTTATGCACGATTTGAGTTTGAGATATTAGGCTTGGAGTTTGGGGAACAGGGTTCAAACAGTTGTAGTAAAAGTTTGGGCTTTGGGCATAGAAGGCTTGTAGGCTTCGGATGTAAGCCCACTTTTGCAGAAACTTAACGCCCTAAACCCTATAAAGCGGATCCGTGTAAACGGGGTGACGACAGGTTTCTGAGTCTAGGAAGTACTATTTAAGATATCCTTGAATACGCTTTCGCATACTTATACTTAAAGTAAGCCTGCCCTAAACCCCGAAACTCATAGAACCCCATATAAGCCCTTTCTAAGCCTCTCGAGAACGCTAAATGGCAGTTGCTAACTACCCAGGCCCCTCTAGAGTCTTGTAGAACCGTAAACCATAACCCCCAAACCCGTATACAGAACTGGTCTCTCAGCCAGCTGCGCTCCATCGCCATCGACATCCGCCGCCCCAAACCTCACGATGCATAAACACGGTGCAACTGTAGGGCTTACCCTAAGGGTCCCAAGGACCCAAGAATAAGGTACTTGGCTTTATGATACTAGCTCTGTAGGTACATAATTGGGAGAGTATATTATTATGAGAAAGTACTTGGACCCTCAGGGTTAGGGCTTAGCGTTTCAGGCCGAAGGATCCAAAAAGCTCAACAAGCTTGCGTTTTTCTCTACGCGCTTCTGGGTGCTTCATGGGGTTACGGCCAGGGTTCAGGGTCCCAATCCCAAGCTGGGCAACATATCAGGTCACAAGCGGCTTAAAGTTTAGTTAGGGCCAAACACCTTTACTATAGGTGAGCATTCAAGTGGTAAGTTGTTGGGACAGGTTCGGGCTACAAGGCAGGAGCAATCAGCTGTAGATAGGTTGTGGAGATACAAGTACCACGTACGAAAGATCGGGGCGGCTTACTCGGGCACTTGCCCGCAACACTGAGTTGTGAAACCTAGCCTTTTAGATCCCAACCCCCGCACGTCACACCCCCAATCAACCACAACCAAGCCTAACGTCACCAGGAGCTCAAGCCCAGGTGACGTCAGGCTTGTACCAGTACAAGAATGAGCGATAGCTCAACCAACAACCTCCTGAGGAAGCCCTGCGGGTCACCCAAGAAAAACAAGGCCTAACAGTAGAATAGGGTTTTGCGGCCCATTAGACTATATTTATAATGAGGAACCCCCCAAAATAGTATAGGTCATTATTAAAGGAACCCCCAAAATAGTATAGGTCATTATTAAAAGAACCCCCGAAATAGTATAGGTCATTATTAAAGCCCCTATATCACCCAACACAAACCCGACTACCTGGGTCGCCATGGCACACAACAGCGGGGACCGGATCCACTTGCCCCTGGATGATGCCTCCTCGAAGCCTTGGTCGAAAGATGATCATGGCTTGGGGGGTTTAGGGCGTTTAGGGCTTAGGATTTAGGGTTTAGGGTTTATAGGGTTTAGGGTTTATAGGGTTTAGGGCTTATAGGGTTTAGGGCTTATAGGGTTTAGGGTGTAGGGCTTAGGGTTTAGGGTGTAGGGCTTAGGGTTGAGGTTTTCGGGAAGCTACGGCCTCCAGGCTTGGGGAGTTTCGGGCTTACAAAAGGGATTGGGGCCTTCTTTCATCTTCTGTCCCGAGTCGGGCGGTTTAGGGTTTAGGGTTTAGGGTTTAGGGTTTAGGGTTTAGGGCTAGATCAAGGAGCTTTGAGGCGGGCTCTGCTGACGCCTCCATCAGACAATCCACGGACTGGAGGCTGCAGCCTCCAAACAACCCAACTACAAAACTCATCATAAACCATATAGGGCTTGGGGCTTAGGGTTCAGGGAGTCCAGACTAGGGTTTGGGGTTTATAGTTATAAGCCCTAAAATCCTCAGCTGTACGCACGCCTGCCCGTCTCGAGCTTCTCCCCGACATTGCAAGGCTGCAACTTAAAATAGCAGCCCCTCCATTCCACGTCCTTGTGCTTTAGCGTTCCTATCCTGATCTCGATCACAATCGAACTTCTTCGTACCCGGTGCAAAATCTGTATTGTCGTAAAGGCAGGCTCCTACGACACAGGCACGCGGTAATCAACTCACAAGCCAGACAGCGGCCACGAGGCCCACTGCAAACACGAGACAATGCCAACGAGAGAGCCGCGAAGTGTCTCTGGTGAGCATGGGACTTGAAAAGTCGAGCTGAACTGTAAATGACATCTTTTAGGGTTCCTTGCTATGATTTCCTTCTATGGGTCCTTAAACAAGGGAGGTCATTCCGGGTCCAGGTAATTTTGGGGGCCTGAATAATTAGAATGGGGTTTTGGGGTATGTTATACTATACTTTTAAAAAGGAACCCCCCCCAACAAAAAAAACAACCAAAAACGACATGTATTTATTTAGGGAAGCCAGAGGATCCAACAACAACGATCACAAGGATCGCGACCCGTTGAGGCGTCGTCGCTGTGTTGTACCCTTTGGAACTGCGGGCTCATAACTTGCATGTTTGTGGGGGTTTCCGAAAATTAGGGTACCTTATTTTGGGGTCCTTATAATAAGGATCCTATTATTTGGGGTACTATATTAGGGTCCCCTATGTTCGGAAACCCCCTTGTAGATCTTGCAGTTTCTGCAAGTCCCACGTACGCATCGCAGCATAGCTACCGGGAGCGTAGGTTGCATCTATTGTACGACCATCATGCATACAAGTATTCCTACTTGGACGATAGCGTATGACCCCATCATGTTCTGGCTATAACCCTTAGGATAATCTGTAGCCTGGTAGCTTGAAAGACCTAGAAAGACCTGGCTGAGACGGAAACCCGGCAATTCCGCGCTGAATGGCATCATTGATGGAGCTTTCCTGGGATACGGGCACAGGGTTTTGCGGTCAATAGTGTTGCTTTCAAGTTTAGGCATGAACAAAGGTTAGTGTAGTTTCGGCAAGGATTTTGGGCTGGCATCATTGATGGATCTTCTGAACTTCCCGTCGATACCTGTAGGGCCTGGCAAATTGAGGGTATAGTAATTACCGGGCAAAAGTAAGGTTCATAAGGTTTTGGGGGTTGTATAAGCCTTAAAATATTACTACACAGCTCTATGGAAACCTTTCGAACAGAGCTCTACAACCAGTATAACTACTTGTAAGGGTTCTACAAATGTCATGACGTGGATACTACTATGGGCCCACCCCAAATCCCTAAACCCCGCCGTTACGACTTCAGTCAGTCATCCGGGCTTTCGGGGTGGAGCAAAGGGGCCTTAGAAAAAGTGGGGCAGGGTTGGGGGAGGGGGGGTAAGGAATATACTCCAGTGTAGCCACCTAGAGACTACAAGGGTACATGATTCAAACATAAAGGTTTATACGCTTGATGATATAAATCCTGCATTACCCATAACAAGGAATATACCATGACTCCCATAGTTTAGGGTCCTTATTGTAATGCAGTATTTACATCATCAACCGTAGGACTTTCTGTAGGGTTTCATCAGGCTTATATACTGCTCTATTAAAACAAACCCTGTCGAAGGCCCTCTACAACCAGTATAACTAATCGTAAAGGCTTAAAATGGCGTCCAGACAGCATTTCGGCTCCCGGATTTGGTCTGGGATTGCGCCTTGGGGTCTGGCATGTAGAGTTCGTGGTTTAGGTTTCGGGAGCCTAGGAATTAGAGACTATAAACAGAGTTTAGGGAGGCTTCAATTAAACAGAGTTTAGGGAGGCTTCAATATCTTCTTTTAGGTTTCAGGGTTTAGTTCAGCGTCTAGTTCAAGGTTTCGGATCATTATGCGAAACAAGACCTTGCCAGTTGCGATTCCTCAGTGGCTTGCCGCATCAGACCCTGCAAAGTGGAACTGCATACTAGCTTGCAGAAAAGCACAATGTAGGGGCCTTCATAATTAGAATGGGGCTTCGGGGTATAGTATACTATATACATATAATCAGGAGCCCCCAACATAGTATGGGTAATGACTAAGGCCCCCATATTATCCCTTCAGATCATCAACCCCCAAAGCTTGCAGCGCAGAAAACTCCTGCAGTCTCTCACAAGCTTAGCTTGCCGCGATACAGAAGCTTGCAAGTTGCCCCTAAACCCTAAACCCTAAACCCTAAACCCCTAAAACCTTAAACCCCTAAAACCCCTAAAACCCTAAACCCTAAATCCTAAACCCTAAAACCCTAAACCCTAAACCCCTAAAACCTAAAACCTTAAACCCCTAAAACCCTAAAACCTTGAATCCCTAAAACCCTAAACCCCTAAACCCCCAAGCAAGTGGCAAACGGCGAGCCCGCAGAGGGCCCGGCCCCAAGATGGGACCCTTCTCAAACCGGCGAGCCCGCAGAAAAGAACGAATTTAGGGTTTAGGGTTTAGGGTTTAGGGTTTAGGGTTTAGGGTTTAGGGTTTAGGGTTTAGGGTTTAGGGAAATAAGTCAACACACACACACACACCCAAAGGGTCCAAGTACAAATATGGTAGCTACTTAGTAGATATTTGGGCCCCAAAAGTATAGACTATACTATTACTTGGACCCTTTGGGACAGCAGAAGCCAGAAGCAAGAAACCAGGCAACCACATCAGAGCCACAATTCAGCCACAGCTTGTAATCATCCAGACACAACCGTAAACAGCTTGACATCCAGGCTTCATCAAGCTCGCCTTTATCGATGCTGCCATCGGAGTTCCTCAGCAACAGCTATTTGGAGACTTCCAAAACTTGTGGGGGGGGAGGGGTGGGGGCTGGGGGTGGGGGGTTTTAGCGTCTGTAGGGCTTACAGCTTGGGGGGTCCCTAAACATAGGAAATCCTCTTTTGCAAAAAGTCTGAAGACATGTTAAGGTTTCGTGAGGGTCTTATAGGCCTTAGGGCAATTGACGGGTTCTTACTGGGTTCTGCAAGGCATTCATGCCGCGCGTGTCGTGTCGGAAGAACCAGTACACATGCACATGAATAAACTGGAACACACACACACACACAGGGGGGACCTAGTGCGAAGCCCGAATCGGCGAAACCTAAACCGGCGAAACCTAAACCCCGAACCTGTAGCCTCCATACCCAATTTGTACGACTCTGATACCAAGACCGTCCACCGCACTCCTCTGACCCTCCTTTCAGCACTACCGAGCAGAGCTGCGCCTATTATGTCTCTCTGTGTATATATATATATACATATACAGAATCGGAATCAGAATATGCATATATATATATATATACACACACTTACTTATTTACGTATTCATGTATAGTATAGTCTATACTGTTGGGGCCCAAATATCTACTAAGTAGCTACCATATTAGAACTTGGACCTTTTGGGTAAGCTAAGCCACATTTTCAATGCTTGGCAGCTTGAAGCACTTGGACCTGAAACCCTGGAGGCCCGTTTAGGTTTAGGGTTTAGGGTTTAGGGTTTAGGGTTTAGGGTTTAGGGTTTAGGCTTTAGCAGCTGAGGGTAAAGGGTTCCCGAAACGCAAAACCCCAAAGCCTAAACTCCAGCCAAGTGGCCGATCCAGTTTATTCACGAGCTCGCGCATGGCCTGCTTGGCGTATCGCACGACCTTGGGTGAACAAATCGAGATTTGGGGCTGGGGTCTGAACTTTTAGGGTTCAGAGATTTGCTTGGGCTCTAAGTGTGTATGATGTTTGGAGATTTTCCGGGCCTTAAAGGATTGCGTTTGAGGATGCGCGGTGTTCCGTTGACGGGGCGGGCCTTCAAAACGGATTCACAAGGAAGAACTGAGCAGGTATACGGCTTCGGGCAAATCTTCTCAATGTGGACTCATGTTGGCCACATCGGCACAGGTAAGGTAAGTCTCTCACATTGTTATAGACATGGCTAGGCAACTGAGAATGGGGATTGCCCTGCATCACTGACATGGAGTATCCTTTGGCAGCGCACACACTATCTTCATTGTGCCCAAAGCAACGCAGCCCTGAGAACTTACTCCTGAACCTTTGCCACCTAAATTGCCCTGGATGAACCCCCTGAGTCGAAGCTGCTGAAATCCAAAGCCCCCTTAAACAAAGCCCCGGAGCCCTGCAAAGGAACCTCATCCGGCACCGCTACACCACAACATCTTGAACCCCGACCCTCAAAAAGACCCCTAAGCCCTAAACCCTAGAGGCCCTATATAAATAAACCCTAAAGGCCCTAAGCCCTAAACCCCGGAGGCCCTAAACCCTTAACCCCAAAGGCCCTAAACCCTAAACCCTAAACCCTGCAGGCCCTAAACCCTAAACCCTAAAGGCCCTATATAAATACACCCTGAAGATCCTAAACCCTAAAACCCCCTAAACCCTAATACCCCTAAACAGAACAATATAGGTGATTATCTAAGCCCTAAATCACCCTAAAGGCCCTAAACCCTCACAAAAGCTCAAAGATCTGCAGCCCTAAACCCTAAACCATAAAGGCCCTATAATAATACACCCTATAAAGATCCTAAAGATCCTAAACCCTCACAAAAACCTCAAAGATTTGCAGCCCGAGCCTTGCTGTTGGAGGCCCAGTTATCCGAGCCCAGCTGGCAGGTAAACTCCGAAGTCAGGAAGTAGCCTGGGTCTAGGCACGTTTTCGTAGGGGTTTAAGGGTCTAGGCACGGTTTTGAGCTCTCTGTTTAAAAGTTTAGGGTTTAAGCTTTTAGGGGGTTTAGGGGTTAGGGCGCTTATACTGTTTATAAGTTTAGGGCTTTAAGGGTCTAGGCACGGTTTTGGGCTCACTGTTTATAAGTTCAGGGGGTTAAGGGTCTAGGCACGGTTTTGGGCTCTCTGTTTATGAGTTTAGGGGTTTAAGTCTAGGCACGGTTTTGGGCTCTCTGTTTATAAGTTTGGGGTTTAAGGTTTCAGGGGTTTAGGGTTCAGGGGTTTAGGGGTTTAGGGGTTTAGGGGTTTAGGGTTTAAGGGTTTAGGGGTTTTGGTTTTAGGGCTTCGGGGGCTTACAGCCTGCTGTTTCGGGATGTTGGGGCTTTCCGGAGTCTCGGGTTCAGGGCGGGGCGGCGTCTCCGGTGTAAGATCGGGGGTGGGATTAGGGTACAGGGTTTAGGGTTTAGGGCTTGGGGCTTAGAGGGTTTAGGGTTTGGGGCTTGGGGTTTAGAGGGTTTAGGGTTTAGGGTTGAGGATTGCTTGAGGGTCTATGCACAAACCTGGTGAATCTCGACTCTCTCGAGGTCGGAAGTGTGCGTGTTCGCTCTCCTCCTGAGGCGCCTTTTTGCGATGCCGTGGCGGGGTTCTAATGCCCACTGGAAACCCAAAGGGTCCATGTACTAACATGGTAGCTACTTCGTAGATATGTGGGCCCCAAAAGTAAAGACGATACTATTACTTAGACCCTTTTGTGAAACCTGGCCCCTGCTCCCCACCTAAAAAAACCCCGAAACCGCAAGATCCCGAAAGTCATGGACCCCTAAACTCGGAACTGTCTGAACCCTTCGCCGCTCTGATTCTTCATCACCGAGTTTGAAGTCCGTGTTGCTGTCATAGCCCAAACCTCAAGCCTTAACCGATAAAGCGCTACAACCCTGAAGCCCTAGCCTCTGAACTCTGCAAACCCTCCCCCCCCCCCCGGAAGCCCCAACCAAAACAAAACAAATCAACAAAAAAGAGTTCACGCAGAACGAAACCACCACGTAAGTGCGGACGAAGGCACCATCATTGCAGGCTGCACACTGGTCGAAGGCCGTCATGGCCTTCTGGGCCTTACCTTGTTAGCAACATGTAGGGCTTGGGGTTTCGGGGTTTGGGTGGAGGGTTTTGGGGTTGAAAAGTTCCCAGAAAGGGTTGAACTGCGCTTCTCCGTCTACTCCTAAACTTTCGGGGTGGGGGACACCAATGTTCAAGACTTCCGGCTTCTGCTGCACCCTCAACCCAAAACCTAAACCCTAAACCCCTAAACCCTAAAACCCCAAAAAGCCAGTGAGGGAAGGATCAACTCGCGCGGGCGCAGGATTCATGTGCGGTTCGGCCTCACACTTGGATCTTTGTCAACGCCTTTGTCTTAAGCCACGGGCTTCGGTTACCTAAATACTGGATTACTGGGGTAATATAATCTACGGCTAGTAACCTACTATCCAGGTAAAACTGAGGCCCTAGGGTTAAGCCAAGGTCCGAGTGTCCGATCCCCGTTCACGAAGTCCCTCACACAACAACCACTGCCGAACAACCCAAACCCAAAGGGTCCAAGTACTAATATGGTAGCTACTTTGTAGATATTTGGGCCCCAAAAGTATAGAATATACTATTACTTGGACCCTTTGGGAAACCAAAGTGGATTGACAGCTAGCCTGAATACTCTTCAGCCTTAAACCTCAAGCCCTCGAACTGCCCACCCTGAACTAGGCCCTCATCCGAGAGCACTGATGCCCCCAAACGAAACAAGCTATGCCACAACTAATGTAGGGGCCGTAATGATTAGAATAGGGTTTCGGCTCCTTTGTACTCTAGTTATGATAAGGAATCCTGAAGAATAGTTTGGTAATTATTTTGGCTTGTATAGTACCTAAGACTCAGCAACCTAGTGGTCCGGACTAGCATTACTATCTATTCCGGCCCCCTGTCATTGCAAAGCGCAAACGGTAAAAACCAAAGCAAAAAGGCAAATCCTCCGTCAAACCCAGTAAGACGGCCGGGTTCGGCACGGTTCAGGTAATGTAGGGGCCTTAATAAATAGAATCGTGCTTTGTGGCCCATTATACTATAAGTATAATAAGGAACCCACAAAACAGTGCAGGAAATTATTTAGGCCCCTATATTAGTTCGCAAGCACAACCCTAACACACAAAAGCCCTAAGGCAAGGCACAGGCTTTGCATCCGCCATTGGGCCCAGGGCTGCAGAGAAACGGCTTGCAAACTAAAGCATCCACGAGGCCGTAGCCCGCGTTGCCTCAGCGCTTTATGATGGTGTTTTAGGGTTGTGGGTAGGTTTTTTGATTCAAGGGGTACTTTATTTTGGGGTCCTTGTAATACTGATCCTACTACTTAGGGTACTATATTCGGGTCCCCTATTTTAGAACTCCCTTAACTTAAACAGCTTCAAGCTTGAATTCGGCAGGGCGTTTCAGGTTGAGCTTTCGGATCTTACCTGGAGTCCCTTTGCTGGTCAGTTGCCCTAATGTCTCATGAATTACTGATAGGATCCCAGCCACAAAAAAAGCACTTCATTCCTGGGTCTAGGTAGGTCTTATAGGGTTCTGAGGGGGGAGGAGTCTGTGGGGTTTGCTGCGCATTTTTTTAAATCACCCTTTTGCGACTATGGGTGCTTGGTTCTTAAGTTCAAAACAGGATGTTCGGAGTTCTTGCATGTGGGTCTTAGGGTTGATAGCGGCAGCAACACTTGGAAAAGGGTTTCGGGCATTGTTATACTACTATAGTCCGACCCCTTGAGTACTTGAAGCACAAGCCATGCACAAGACCAGCCTGGCCAATCTGTTGCTTCAGAAACCCTCACATCCCAACACCGGGACCCCACAAGCCCAACCCTGCATTGAGGTCTTGTGTGTGCCGAATATCTTACAAACTTGTGCTTATCAGGATGGAGAGTGAGGAGTCCGAAACATTCACCTGCTAGTAGAAGCTAAGGACTTAACTTTCTGAAAGCATGATAAGAGAAGTAGTCAATACATGTTACAAGGTTCCAAGGGCAGAATTGGTACTACATAGTACTACCATGCCCTTACTGTCTCTGCAAAACTTTTCTATAGGTAACTTCTACGTGTATGTATTTACATATTTACATAACTATATAGGTCTATCGATACGCAGATACACACGCCAGAATGCTGCTGCAGTTGTACTAAGTAGGGTCCCTTGCTAGTCGAGGAGCAGGTGCTGCATTGGTGGGGCGCCGTGCGCGATGCGAGCTCTCGACAGGTCTTACACTTGGCCCCTTCCCCCTCGTCGCAAGGGAACGGCTCGCACTTCAAGTCCATGTTAAGCCTGAGTCGATGGGCATGCACTGCATTTCGTGGGCGCGTCTTAGGGTGCATAGAATGAAGGGGCCTTAATCTTTAGACTTGTGGGGTATACTATAGTATGGTTGGAGTTTTAGGACCGAGGAGGACACCAGCCATAATTTGGCTTCACCATGATTCGCGCAAGTGTTGGTTAATGCCCATGCCCATGTTGAAAGATTCAGAACACGTAATCTCGCCAATACTACGACGATTGTGCACACAACCAGGCGGACGCCAACCACAAGCTCTGTCATGGAACGTTCTGCATTATGTGTATGGGGGACGTTCTCTACTGATCCGACATGCACGTGACACCTTTGATTCAACCAAGCCTAAAACATAAACCCGAAACATCCCGAAACCTTAAACAATGAAGCCTTCCCAGACCCTCCCTCTTAAGGGTACAAGGAGGGTCCTGGTTAGCTCCTGCCCATGCCTGTAAGTAGGCATCAATCGCTTCCACCCCGGTTCGGGCGACACGGGTGGCTCGGAGCCAACTTGCGGCCCTGTAGAACCAGGCGCAGCGTAATACAGGGGCCTCAATAATTGCCAAT